AGTAAAAAAAATATACAGAGAGAAGAGGAGAGAGAAAGAAACATAAAACAGTATTTAATAAAGATATTTTTTTAAGAAAGAGGGGGGGGGCGGGGCGGAGGGGGGTCTCGGGCGCCTGTAGTCTGTAGTAACTGCCCTCAACATTCCTAAAATTTGAATACATTATTAATGTTGAAAAGATCCTGAGCAGTTAATATAAACAATTTTATAATTTGGGGAATAGGCCAGAAATAGTATTGTCTCGGTCTTGATATTTTCAGTTTTCTGAAAGAGTTAGACGGAATAAACAAATAGAATAAAAGTTTAAGCCAAATAGTGGGGTGGGGTAAAAATTAATGAGCGAAAATATCAATTAAACTTTGTTCCCGACTCCCTTGATTTAGAGCTCCTGTATATGCATATGGCCATGGTGATTTTTTCATAAGATGAATGCATTGCTTTATCCGGGTTGAAATTGTCCTGTTCATATATGTTTTTTTTAAAATATATTTTTGTTTAGGCCTACTGCTTAGATATAATCATTAAGTTTTGAGTTGTTTCATTCATAGATTAGTTTTAGCATTAATAATAATAATAATATCTGGGTCAACTAAAATAAAAATAATAATAATAATACAAATCTTAGCAGTTATGTTACACTTTGATTTTTCAGAACGGACGATTTATTTTCACCATCAACAATCATTTACTAGGTCATTTAATTTATGAACAATAAATAAAAAAATGCTCACAAGACCAGGAACACCTGCACCTAAAGCACATCAAAGAATCTAAATTCAGTAACGCACGCGCAGGTGACAACCTTCTGGCCAATCGTCGCTTCGTTTATAACTCTGGAGAGCGTAGACGCTTGCGAGCTGAGTTTTGATTGGTTAACAGCGTCAAGTACGCGACGCTTTCCAGCGATACTGCTCATCGAATTGCGACTTCAAAGGAACAGCGACCTTAAGAGATGAATGCATCCAGCTTGCGGGATAACGGAATTCGGCTCACATTTAGACATTATTCCTATTATGAAACCATGAACACCAGAGACATGTGAGATGTGAGGTACCTTGGGACGCTATCGTCGGCAAAAAGACGAAAGTCAGAGTGATAGTAAAGATTATTATGCTCAGCTGTTGTATAGTAAGCTCAAGGCCCACAACCGTTTGCACCCCTCCAACGACCTGAAAACCTTTTAAAACTTTTCTTTTTTTCACTCCACATTTTCACAGATTATCAAAATTTTGAAAAAAGTCAAACTGATTTTAAAAAATAGGGACACATTTTAAAAAAATATCTATCTATCGCCAATATACCCGGCGTATCCCAGGATTGCACTCGCAAAAACAACGTCCACAGCTGTTTGATCAATATTGAAATTAAGCGCCATGTTAAAAATACAACTCAAAAAGTAAAAAAAAAAAAAAAAAAAAAACTTTTTTTCCTATAAAAAAAAAACTCAAAAAAAAAAAAAAAAAAAAAAAAAAAAAAACTTTATTTCCTATAAAAAACACATTTAGTGTTTCATAACTTTTGCACACCTTTCGTTCCCCGGTGAGATCCCGATCCCAGATGAATCCCAATCAGATACCGTTTCCCGATGGAATCCCGTTTTCCGATTGTATCCCGGTTTCCGGAAGGATCCCGACCCCGTTTGGGATCAAGGTTGGATTTCAATCCCGGTTGTATCATAATCCTAGTGTGATCCCTTTTCCCGGTGGTTTCCATATCCTGGTGGTGGCCCGATCCTGGTGGGTTCCCGATCCTGGTGGTGGCCCGATCCAGGTGGGTTACCGTTTCCCGGTAGGATCCCCTTTCCTGGTGGTGGCCCGATCCCAGTGGATTCTGTAGCCCGATGGGTGGGATCCCGATCCCGTTGGGATCACGTTCTCCGTGGGATCCCGTTTACCGATAGAATCCCTCTTCGATCCCGTTACTCGATGGGATCGCGTCACCGGTGGGTTCCAGTTTACTCCTTCCCCTTTGGGATCCTGTTCCTCGTTGGGATAATTTTTCCAGTGGGTTTTTGTTTCCGGTAGGATTATGCAGTGTATGTCTAAATAAAATCCCTATGAAAGTATCAAAATGAATAGAACTAAACCAAAATTTCATGACGCTTTTAGATCCCATTGTATATCCCTGTAGAACACTATAGAACTTTTAGATCCCATTGTATATCCCTGTAGAGCACTATAGAACTTTCTAAAACATTCTAAATTAAAAATAATGTCCTCCTTGAAACGTGTAAAAAAAATGACTTGCTAAGTAATTATTTTTCGAATACGAAAAAATAAAACCACTAAAGGCACTACTATAACTATATATAGTACATTTAAGTTGAAAGAGGGGCCCCAGCGGGTGCCCATTTCATAACTGTACCGAATTAGTTTGCCTGAGATTTGGTGCCCTATAAATATCATTCAGATAAATTATAGTGTTAAAATTTAAAATTTTCCCTTTAAAACCTATTTAAAAATGCTAAAGATATAGCTTTTTTAAAATTATTGAACTTTCTGGAAAATTCTAGATTGGATATTCTTAAACCGATACACCGATATTTCAGTACGATCAATGAAGGGTATTACTATCAAGCTAGGATTACATCCATCAATTCACATAGTGTTTTATAAGCCTATTAATATTGATATAGTTAATAAGGGCTTATATACGGAAAAAATGGCTCCAGAGGAATGGATACTATGATTTGAGTACCCTTAGGTATTTGAATATGGATAATCAAGTGTATGTGTACTAATTTTGGTCAAGATCCATCTATTCGTGTAGGAGTATTTGTTGCTAATTTTATTTGTATAGCTCATATAAGAAAAAAAAAAGAATTCGGAAAGCACATAAAAAAAAAAAAAAAAAATTCGGGCCCCCCCCCCCCCCAGCTCCAAACGGAATGTTATAAAAAGTTCTTAACCCCCAAGAGTTCATTCCGGATAATGGTAGATATATGTGTCAAGTTTGGTCAAGATCCATCAATCCACGTAAAAGAGTTGTTTTTTTAAAACAAACAAACAAAGCCACAAATTTCCACACACACACACACACATATATTATATATATATATGTGTGTGTGATTATATAGCGACGATTTTCCAAGCGCAAATTTTCAAAAAAATTCTTTTATTCGAACTGACCTGTAATTAGATTATTATTATCATTACATTAACACGGCTTGAATTATGTGGGTACCAACACCCGTTATCATGTTATCCGAAACACCACCATTACCAAAAAAATCGACGCCCTACTGTATATTTACACACACACAAGACACACACCCACACGTGCGCGTGTCTATGTGTGTGTGTGTTTGTGTGTATGTTGAGAGAGAATTAGAGGTAGTTGGTCCTTACTGAGTACTGAATGTTAAAAAAACTTAAAATATAAGTCATAAGTAACAAATGTTAAGAATGTGAAATTTGTTTTTTTCCCTTGAAAGTCTCCAGTTCCAGACATGGATCTCTTTCTTTATAAAAATAAGCATTAAAAATATGAAAAGTTTAATCAAAAAGCACCTAGACCATAAACGGTAATTAAATGTTTGAAATAATAGAACAGAATGTGCAACGTTGATTTTAACTGGTAAATTAAATTAGTAGTCAGTTAAATCAGCTAAGGATGAAAGTGGTATACCAAGGGACAATACTCATGTTGTTTGAATTTGGCATTGGTAATAGTAATACTAATATTAGAGTTATCCCGAGACATGTCGCTTAACAGTTGGGTAACTAGACAGCTGATCTTTTATGCAATTAAAAATAATTTGAAAAAAAAAAAAAAAAAAACTCAAATAGCGCCATTCCTTGTTTTTTTTTTTTTTTTTTTTTTACCGCCATCCACTTTGCAATCTGCGTGAAAGAAATAGACAGTCTAAGACAGGTTAATGGAGTAGCGTTGCCGTTGAACAAGGGCCATATTGTTGTAATTTGTAAATGATGCAAAATTCTACTCAGAAGTGTTCGTCTTGTTCGATAATTTAAATTTAAATATATATTTTTTTTTATCTGGAAATAGATATTATTGAAATATAACGAGATAATTATGAATTTAAAAAAAAATAAAAAAAATTAAAAAAAAGAAAGAAGAACAAACGCCAGGAAAAGGCAAAATTGAAATTTGCAGGCCAAATGACTAAAAAGACAAAATTTTATAAATATGGTATTAAAAGGCCAATCTGACAAGCCTCTTAATTGGCACCAACTGTGCATTGAAATTGAATTGATAAATTCGTTTCTGCTTCTGCCGCAAGAAGGCGGTGTGCTAACAGAAAGAGAATCAATTCTCAATTCCATCTCTTATTTTTATAATGAATTGAAATATTATATTTATATAATGTAATTACATCAGCTTAAGTATCCAAGTCTTTCGCATTATAAGCACGATTGCGCTACTTAATCCATCAACATTTCTTGAACGTCTTTTTCAATTTAAAATTTAATTATTTTCCCTATAATTGGTTGAAAAAATTGGTTTGGGGAAAAAAAAAAAGGGGGGGGGGGTGCATCCATAATGACGTCGCGCATCAAGTGGGGTCACAAATTTTTGTCTATTTGTTGTGAGGGTTTGTTTCTAAAATTTGTTACAAATTTGAGACGTTTTTGGAAGGAGGGGAGTGTCAAAATTGCCCTACACAGCGTGAAGTCATTTATGGATGACCCCTAATATTAATTATTTATGTGCCAAGATATCGTTTTCCAAGCGTCCTAAATTATCCCACGCTGGTATTGGTTGAATAAAACTACAAATATCAATTTTTCAACATGCATGGAGCACTCTTACAACCACCAAAACTAGCTAAAGAATATCATACCACTGAACAATATTCTCTTACGTACTAGTATTCCAAAACAAAGAGCGATTTAAAAAATAATAAAATGACTTAAAATGAGGGCCCATTGTGATTTTTCGAATCATTTTAAGATAATATGGTTACATTACCAATGAGTTGGCATTGAAATTAATGAAATACTACTTTTAGTAGTGCCACCCATTTCTTTCGTAAAACCTGGCATTGTAATGTTTGCAAAGCGTCTGCTGGAGAGACAACAACAGTAATTCAGTAATTGCATTGCAAGAAAGTAATAATCATAATTGTTTCAGATTAAAATATAACTTTGTTAAAATTCATTTGAAATATTAATATTTTTTAACGCAATTATTATTTATAAAGTGAAGTGTAGGCCGGCACAACGTACATCAAAACCATGGACTGGCTTGCGTATACCGCAGAGGTTTAAGCAGCTAAACCATGGTCTTTGCGAGTCTTTAACTTTTTGGCCTAACCAAGTTCCAAACTTTTGTGACAAATTACTTGTAATTGTAAAGACTAAGAGCAAATCATTTCTTAACGGCAAAATATCCAAAATCAATACTCCCCCTTCCCCATATAGTGCATAATTATTAATTACAATTAAAATATGGATGGACCTTTATAAAATTCTATCATACTGATTTTAGACATTTAAATATATTGACTCTGTGCATGCTCTATATAATAGTTTTATTTCCTGGCTTAACTATTACTTACTGTAAAACATGCCGGTGGGTGGAGGGGTATGCAAAAGTCAAAGTAAGCTTGTTGTGCTAGACGCCCTATCCAGAGCCGTGATTTGTGTAGGCCCCCTTTTTGGTTTTGTGCCCCCTGTTGAGCATCTGCCCATAACTCAACCCCATTCCCCGGCACAACAAATACAAAACTTAAAGTAGCACAAATCCTGTCCCACGTGCATTTTGCAATGGTTTCTGTGTGACAACATTGTGTTTTACCCTGAGAATAGCACATGCCATGCAATGCTCCCTCTAAGGTTTGTTGGTTTGTGTGCAAAATCATAAAGTTGTGTGCAAAATCATAAAGTTGTGTGCAAATTTTTACAGCATCAATTTTTTTGTGTGCAAAATTTTACAGCCTACAGACAAATTCACACACTTCAGTGGAAATTAGCTACGCGGTACTCAAAACTGCTGCGCGGTGTCTGTGAGATTGCTGCGCAGCCGCGCAGTTTAAAGGGAACATTGATACCATGCCATTCTGGAAACATTCCGTCATGAACAGGGTAAACGCAGACCTATCGCTTTGCTATACAGTTTGCTACCGCGCTGTGTGTTTCTAAAATTATGGTGTTTTCTCAGACCTATCGCTTTGCTATACAGTTTGCTACCGCACTGTGTTTCTAAAATCGTGGTGATTTCAAAAGATTCGCTACGAGACTGAGGGTTGTGAATGAACTGTGGATATCGTATGAGGGAGGCCTGTGTAAATTTGACAATGCATAGTGAAAGCAAGATGATTGAAATGATGACCATGCACATTGATATTCAAATGGTATACTGGTATTTTTTTGGATGTTCATATGACAACAGATTTATGAAAAGTTGTAGTCTACATCATGACTACATTTACATGTAAAAGTAAAATGTAAATGTTCAACTACATAAAGAATGCTGCAAAGGCAATAAAATAAAATACAGTGGAACCTCTCATAACCAGCACCTCTCATAAGGATTAATTCGCATAACGAGCAAAAAAAATTATGAAGAAGTTGCTCCCTTAACGAGGGACATTTCACATAACGAGTTACGCAGAAAGGGGAAGTCCCTTTTTCTCGACATTCATTTGTGAGCCGGAACTTCCGCGCCGAAGCATTAGTCTGTGTTTAGCACTCGGTCTGTTGGCGTATTGTTTTCGTGTGTGATCACCAGTTTTTACAAATTTTGTATTCAGACAGTATTCGTAATTTTTTTATGTGCAAAATGTAAAAACCTGTGCTAACTAAAATGTCTTCGAAGAAAAAACCACCAGAAGACAATCATAAGAGACAAAAAATAACTGTTGAAATGAAACGTAAAATCATTGAAAAGCGAGAACAAGGTGTGAGAGTGGCTAATCTAGCGCGCACATACAATCGGTCAACATTAACAATCTGCACTATTCTCAAGAACAAAAACAAAATTAAGGAGATGTATGCTTCAAAGGGAGTGTCGAGAATGTCTACGAAACGGTTACGTATTCTTGATGATGTTGAGAGTTTGCTTCTAATATGGATAAACGAGAAGTGATTAGAAGGCGACACTATTAATGAAAACATTATTTGTGAGAAGGCGAAACTTATTTTCGCTGACCTTGTTAAGAAAACACCAGGATCATCTACTGCCGAAAAAGAACTACAATTCAAGGGAAGTCATGGATGGTTCGAGAAGTTTAAGAGAAGAACCGGCATCCACAGCATTGTGAGGCACAGTGAAGCAGCAAGCTCTGACACAAAAGTAGCAGAGAACTTCATCAGTGACTTCAAGAAGCTCATAGATCTTGGGGGTTACCTGCCGCAACAAGCTTTTAATTGTGACGAGACGGCTCTCTTCTGGAAAAATATGCCAAAGCAAACCTATATAACAGCTGAAGAGAATGCATTGCCAGGCCACAAGCCAATGAAAGGCCGCCTCACGCTGCTATTTTGTGCCAATGCAAGCGGGGATTTGAAAATTAAACCGCTGCTTGTTTACCATTCAGAAACTCCACGAGCCTTTAAGAAGTGTAATGTCCAGAAGAGGAGACTAAATGTGATGTGGAGATCCAACAAGAAGGCCTGGGTGACACGTGACATTTTCACTGATTGGATCAATGAAGTGATTTGTCCTTCCGTAAAAAAATATTTGCTAGAGATGAATCTTCCTCTCCATGTCTTGCTTGTTTTGCACAATGCGCCTGCCCATCCTCCAGGCCTACAAGATGATATTCATGAAGAATTTAATTTCATCAATATCCAGTTTCTGCCTCCCAACACCACTCCGTTACTCCAGCCTATGGACCAGCAGGTTATTTCTCATTTTAAAAAACTCTACACTAAAACACTCTTCGAGCGTTGTTTTGAAGTTACCGAAGAGTCAAATCTCACTCTTAGAGAGTTTTGGAAAGATCATTTTCACATCGTTGCTTGCCTCAAGGTGATTGACAAGGCTTGGGAAGGGGTTACCAAGAGGACCCTCACTTCTGCTTGGAAAAAACTTTGGCCACAGAGTGTTGTTGAATGTGATTTTGAAACAGTACCTGTGGAGTCTACAGTTAACGAGATTGTGTCATTGGCCAATATCATGGGACTCGAGGTGGACAACAACGATATTGAAGAGCTTGTGAAAGAGCACAGTCATGAGTTGACCACTGAAGAGCTTATGGAGTTGCATCGTGTTTCACAGCAAGAAATTTTGGAGGAGAGCTCATTAATGGAGGAGGAAGTAACAGAGCAACAATCTTCTAGCGTGATAAGAGAAATGCTGAAAGCATTTGAAACTGTTGCATCGTACATTGAGAAGCATCATCCTAATAAGGAGATGACTATTCGTGCTAAAAATTTATTAAATGATAATGCTGTGACACGTTTTCGTCAAATTTTGAAGGGTCGGCAAAAACAAATGTCTTTAGACAGTTTTCTAGTTAAAAAGGATTAATTATTTGTCATAAAGTCTTATTTTTATTTACGTTTTTTGTTTCAAATCTAAATTGTATTCCAAGTTGTTACACTCCTTAACAATTCATTAGTAATTTTATTTGAATATATGTTAAACATTTTGAAAAATGAGTATTTTTTCAGCATGGAACGCATTATCATATTTTACATTGTTTTGTATTGGAAAAATTGTTTCGTTTAACGAGTGTTTCGCTTAACGAGTAAGATTCTGAAACGAATTATGCTCGTTATGAGAGGTTCCACTGTACAGCTTTTTATTCAAAATTATTCTGTGGTTATTATACATGTTACAAGTTACATACATTATACACACACTTTCTGTTTGTTTTCTAATTTCTTATTATTTTCAAATTCAAAGGCTAACACAACTAGTTCAAGTTTAATCTATAACACTTAATAATCTGAATATAACATATATTTGAAATATTTAAATTGCTACAAAATATTTTTTTTAATTCTCATGAAACTGCTGTTACAAATGAACATAATAATTTATATATAAAACATATTTGTAATTAAATGGGGGAAAAAAACAACAAAAAACTTGATCCCCATCTGGGAATTGATCACAAGATATAATTTCGTCTAGCATCTCCTCTACCACAAAACCACACAAGATCATATCTAACAGGCATATCTTAAAACCAGGCCAATGGTAAATTTTTGCTGTGGTGTACACAGACCTAGGTCCATGGTTTTGCTAGGTACAGCGCCGAGGTGCACGCAGCCACTTTGTATTATAATTTATTAATTATCGTAACGAAGTATGCTTAGTTACACTTTTTTTAGAGCTTAGGCCTCGGCCAAGTTATAGTAAAGTATTTTTTTTTAAATTGATTAAAAATTTAAATATGGCCTCATCAGTTTAGGTAGGCTTAAATAAATCTTAATAATAAATACAATGAATGAATAGCCTCTATAACAGAGGCCTATACCTACCAATATTTCCAAAATTTTATTTTAAGTTTGGTGAACAAGTTTTGAAAATGAACCAGGGACTGGTGCCAGATTTATTTATAAAATTTTCTTTATGTAATCATAAATAAAATTTAATACCGGTAATCCTGTTGTCATGTGCAGGTCAAGAACAACAGAGTAGGAAGGCTCGCAGACCGGTGCCAGTCTTTTGATCACCATATTAGGGGAATGCTGGCCTATACTTAAACAGTTTGAAACATGTAACATCCTGTGAATAGCACAACCCTTGGGGCTTGAGACTGATAAAAAAAGTGGCTCTGATGCTATTTGCAGGTCCTTCAATAATTTGAAAGAAAACGACATATGCAAATATGCTTTTGAAAATAAGAAATGAGAAAACAAGCAGTGCATACATTATCATTTACATGTATGACTATGTTTAATAGCAACAGAACAATCATGAAACGAAGAGAGATTTTATTGTGCTTAACCTTTCTTATTCATGTGGTTCATGACATAATTTGGTGCCAGCGCGGTAGGTGAGTGCTTTTTAAATGAAATGTTGTATATAACCTAACAGATGGAGCTAGCTGCCACAGAGAAAGCTGGGGCCTTAAAGACTGTGAGCTCAGGCTCCTCCCAAAATATGTATTTTAGGTAGTTAGTAATTAGTGTTCAACTAAATTTATACTATTTCTTTATTTTCAGTGGGAAAATACCAGCTTATCTATTTTAACGTCAAGGGTAGGTATTTGTTAACATATCACATTTTTTATCCAAAGTCTGTCTACGTCTCTTTAATTATATCTATTGTTGTGCTCTGTTCACACAAGAAGGAAGATTAAGCAGAAATTTTGTGTGTATTATTTTGTTCTATATTTCAAGCTTTCCCTATTTTGCTATATTTTTATTTTATGGTGTTCAGTTTCTGGGCAATCCATATATTACAATTGCAAAAAAAGTCAAAATTTCGGACACCCAACCCCACCTAAATACAAATGATAATCTTTCCACCTCCCTCCCCAAAAGGGTTAAATATTATTTTACAGGTTTTCCCAACTGTCTGTTTAACATAAAAATTACATCACATGCAATTGGAATGAAATAAAGAAAAGCGAACAGTGGAATTATTATTTGTCACATGGCTATTTATTACTGTTACGATATCTAGTGAGTTATTTGTAAAAACACAAAGCAACATTATGATGATAGTTACAAAACATTGCAGTGATATTTTTATGGCCTTTGAAAATAATAAGAAATCTCGAGTTTCACAAATCTACAAAATTGTCACACACACACCCTCCACCCACACTTCTCCCTCTCTCTCTCTCTTAATGTATGCATTCTATATGGATAGCCCATTATTGAGAACAAATTTGGCTTAATTTAATATTTAGACATCAGTAAATCTATTTATAAATTTACTTTATATATCAGGTCGAGGTGAAGCTATTCGACTTTTATTCAAGGACAATGGCATTGCATATGAAGAAATTAATTGTGGAGAGAATTGGCTAAAAGAATGGAAGCCTCAAATGGTAATCTTTTTTAGTGGATATTTATTATATCCTTCCTTCAAATATTTTTATTTATGTACTGTGATTTGAACATTAATAAGTCTTATCATTATTGTAGTTTTAGTTAAATGAAAAACTGAAGAAATGTTTTTCGCTATTTTTATCTTTTTTTTATAAAATATTGTAAAGGTATCAAATTTTATAAAAGAAAATAATTATACTGAAAAAGATTTTGTCAGTTTTTATAATTACTAGTTCATAGTGATATTTTCTAAACTCAATTTCTTAAATGAAAACATCATTTGTCAGCAAACATTAAAAAAGATATTGTTTTCTTCTTCTATATTTTGAGGGCCCACGATTAATGTATCTGGCTCCTTTGTTTGTAGAGGGGGTTTGCAATGTTTCTATGAATGATTTTGAAGAGGATACTTCCCTGGTTGCAAGGACTACTCAGTGATGGTATCAGGAACTGGAGGTTGGAAGGGCAGGAATGTGTCAAGTGTTGTCGCCTCAACTGTTCCTTTTGGAAGCTTGTTCCAGTCCTTGATTGTCTTTGGCAGGAATGAGCAGTTCTTGTACTGTGTTCTTGCTGTTATGAGTCGGAACTGCATGTCATGGCCTCATCGCTGTCTAGGGGGAGAGTGACGAGTTTCTGTTTAATGCTGGAGAAGTGGACCAGTCACTTTTAATCTTGAATTATTTATTTTATGATAAGTTGTTAAAAATATTTTTATTCCAGCAATTTGGACAGGTTCCTGCATTGAAAGACAATGACTTCCTCCTTGTCCAGACAAATGCCATTCTTCGTCATCTAGGAAGAAAACATGGTACATTGGTCATTCATTTTCTTGTTAAGAAAATGCTAAATTCTTGTTTTGGAGAAAAGTACCACCTATTTTAGCTTGATTTACTAAAGAAGTTAAAATTATCTTTAGTTTGTTGGCTGATTTGAGGAGAGTGGGGGATGTAGTGGAGATAAGCTACAGTAAAGATTTTAAAAAATTACAACAGAGAAGAATATCTCCATATTCTTGTAGCTACGTGAAGAATTCATTCAAAATAATTAGTAGTACAGGCAAGACTGCCATACTAAAATTTGGACAATGTGATGAATTACCAAATAGTCATGCTTGACTTGCCTAGGGTATATATACGTATATTTTATGTTAAAGGCTTTTATATTGAAACAATAGTTTTTTTTAGTCGCTCAAAAATTGGGATATTTATTAAAAAAATTCAGAGTCATCTACTTAGATTTTGCTTAATTTTCTTAATTCTGTATTGACCATTTCTATACATATATTATCATGTTTCTAGGACTCTACGGTAACAATGAACAAGAGGCTTCTCTGATTGATATGATCAATGATGGCATTGAAGACCTTAGAGTAAAGTACCTTACCTTGATCTATAAGAACTATGTAAGTTGAACTTTTTAACATGATTCTCCAATAAAATTATAAAAATCAGTAGCCTTTTTTTTTTACAACTAACAAAGAACTTCTTAGAAAATACAAGTAGTAATTATGTCACAAAAAAAACTAACAAGGCATTCAGCAACGTAATTATTAAAACAAAAATATAAGATCAATTTTGAAAAAAATGTCTTTTACTTTTATTCATTTTTTAACTTTTGCAATTTTGTTTCTAAAAGGAAAATGGAAAAGATATTTATATTGCAGAACTGCCTGCACAGCTCCAGCCATTTGAGGTAACAAAATATATGGTTACCTTTGCATGAAATCAAATATGAAAGAGTATTAACTGTTAATTTTTAAGATTGTCTTATATACTTACTGTGAAAATAAACCTTAAACAGGTATTTTTTTTTTTTTAGGAAATAGAATATTAATGGACCTTATTTTGTTTTTTGCAAACCGAATAATAGTTTTGGAAATCCGATTTTAAATTATTGGTCTCCATGCTCAAATACTCTCTTAGCGGACCTTATACACGGCCCACAATGTGAATTTCTGTAATAAACTTGGCGATATCTGCTTTCATTATTTTTGTTCTGAATATGTAATTATGAATCAGTTCTAAAATAGATGATATTTAAATTTTCAGCCTCATTCTCCGAAATACTGATTATATCGGTTAATGCATAATTTCAATAGGCAATTGTTTTTTAATGTTAATGTAATTGTAATTAATTACAAATTTTTAAGCTTACTTTTGAATAATAAAAAAATTAAAAAATTGAATAATTGTAAAGCGCTTAGAGCTTTATGATAAGCGCTATATAAAAATGCCTAAATAAATAAGCATTTTTAAACATTATCAAAACCAATAAAGGGAAATGTAATTATCGCTAAACATTGTTTATTTTTTTTTTTTTTAAATGAAGTTTTTCTGCTGCTATAAAATTATTATCTTGTTTCTTTTTCAGAAATTACTCTCAGAAAATGGAGCTGAAAAAACTGGTTGTTGTGTTGGAAACAAGGTATGGTAATTTCCCTTTAAAATCACCAGATAAGATAAGCAATATTGTCTTTGTTGGCTTTCTTGTCCCAGATAGTAATTTGGGGGAACAAACTGAATTCTATAGAATTATATGTTTATGATTAAGTTACTTGCAGTTTTTTTTATCTTTTTTGAGTAATGCATATATAGTTTATTGACAATCTTTCATTTTTATACCCTTCTGTTTCTCACTTCAGTGGTTTAAGTTCATTATTCTAGGTAAACCTCCTCCCCTAATAGTAGAATAGCTGCCAGCAATATAACCATAGCTGTGATCACCTGAGACAAATAAAAAACCTACTGCATCTTGGTCCTTATATATGAAATTTGTAAAAATCTTAGAAATTGCGCTGGTTATTGTGTATAAATTTTAATTTACCAGGACCTATTGATTAAAGTACTTTCTAGATTTTTATTTTTTTAAATATATAATTTGTCTCCTTTGTAAATCCTCTTCTATATATAATAATATAACTGAATTTTCATGCAATATTAATTCTTAGTTAGGTATGTCATAACATTAAAAATGTTTTACATAACTGTTTTATTATTTCAGCGATCTTTTGCAGACTATAATCTGTTTGATTTGCTAGATATCAACCAGGTCCTTGCACCAAAATGCTTAGATGATTTTCCCACCCTGACAGCTTACTATCAATTACAGTTGGCTCGACCAGGCATAGCAGATCATCGTGAATCTGAATCTTTTAAGCAGATGAATATCAATGGCAATGGGAAACAGTAAAGAATTAGTAAACAAACAAATGTTAAAATTATAATTCTTAAACTATTCTTTCATTTCTCTTTAAATGTCTTAAAAATATTTACTCAATGTCATTTAGAGTAAACTTCTTTTTAACTTTCTTTTTATTTGGCATTTTAAAGACTCCCTTATTTCCTTTTTGTAAAGTATAAACATGTTAGTGCATAAGTGTATAGTGATCCTGAAAAGTTAACTTTTTTCTTTTATGTTAACTTTTAAGTGTTGACACTTACTTTAAAGTTGTTTTTTCACAACTATCATTGAGCAGCTCAAACTAACACTATTGTGTTTTATTTGTTTGAAGTGAAAACATATTATTCAAATTCAATATTAATTGTTTTGTTCATTAGCCTTTGTAATTGCCATAGAGACAATTTCTTAGTGTCTTTCTTTCAATAAATTACAGAACATTGTATTTTTAATGTGTCTTAAATCCTTTATATTAACTTCACTTTTGTTCGTAGCTGGGAAGACCTTTAGACTACTAATTGACCCACTACTAGACTACCAATAGACCCACTTTCCATCTTTGAAAAAAAAAATATTGCATGTTAAATATTTTTTTACTTTTCTGAAATAGTTGGTGAAATAATCTGCGATGTAAAACGGGATGGGTCATTAATATAGTTCAGGAGCGTGAAAAAAATGTTCGGTTGGGGTGGTGGTGGAGGGGGGGGGAGGGAATCAGATCATTTATCATTGATTTCAAAAGGAAAAATCTCATGAACACTGTTTCTATTGCATGAAATTGAAATAGTCATTTTATATCTTTTTAATTGCTTACATTTTGCCAAATTTCAAAAGAAAGTTGGTTTTATTTTGGAAGTCTAGGAACAACTATACATCCTAAGGTGTAGGTTTTTCCAAATGTTAGTGTATTAATAGTTAGAAATGATATTTAGTGGTTTTTGTAGGAAATTATTGAATTGAAATGTTTTAATGAGGCTAGAAATAAAGTTGCATGTCAACACATAATTCTGGCTCTTTCGTTAGTATAAAATGTTTATATATTTTTGTTTTTAATTAGTTAATTTAATAGTTCTTATAACCATGTGGTAAATTATAATGGTATTAATAATGGTAATATCATTAATATTTTTCATACATTACAACGCTAAATGTATTTGACCCTTTTCAATGATTATTAGTGGAATATATATAATTTGAAATAACACCTGACTTTCAGTTTCAGACAACAAATCGGTAAAATTTTATCATTATAAATATGCAAAATTAAACAATTTTACCTTTTATTCAAATTCAAAAGGCTAGTGTCTCATGCTTGTCTTGATGCTTGAAGAAATTCAGTTTTATATTAAATGAGACCAGAAAGTTCCCAACATTATTAATATGAAATGGTTTGTTTTAAAAGTAGTATATTATAGAGCATCCATACGCTTATGTTATAACACATACAAACCAACAATGATGCAGACCAATATTTCATGAAAATTAACAAAAGTTCCTTGTGTTTTTAAAACTTTTATTAAAATGCTTAAGAAATGCATTTTCAGCAAAAGTAATGCTAAGAAAAAAATTTAACGAGGAATGTTAATTTATACAAGTATTACAATTGTGCTTACCAAACAATATATCTGTTTTACAAACTAACATTACATATTGCATGACTTGAGAATTGAATAGAATTTATTAGTCCAAAATAACATAAATTTGTTTGATTCTCTTAATTAAACCACTTCTTTTTCTCCAATGAACTTCGTGAAGGCTTTGAATGCTTTCTTTCTTCTCTCTTCTGCCTGGTTCTCTCTTATTCTTAGCTGTGAATATAGAAACAAAGTTATATAGTTGTTAAGCACTTCTTTTTGATGGAAAAAGTTTTTAGTCTTAAAGTTTAACTGGGTCTTAGGGTTAAAAGTTATATTGATCTTCATTTAGTGTCACTGAATAGTTATTTATTAAGCGTTTCTAACACATATTTAATAGTATTTATCCCTAAATACCAGGTACTAAAATGCATCCACATATTTTAACTCTTCCCTCTTGTCCACATTTGTCCCTCTTTTTTCTGCCCTGCTTGACCCCCTGTATATTGAACTCATAATTGCATCCAATTATAGCACACCTCTTCAGCTCTGGATGCTATCCAATTGCTCTGGCCTTCTATCATGCACGTTAGTGTGCATATAATGAGGAACAAACCTGCACCAACTGAGCTCCCCACCACAAATTGTATCGTCCTGTCTAGAAATGTAGGAATGATGTTAACAACTTTTTATCTTCAGCAACTGTTTTCAAAAGGTGCAACATTCTTAAGTTTTCTTTTGGGTCATGAAAAACATTATGCTTTGAATGATATTACGGAATCAATGATCAAGAATAGATTTTTTATTTATACACAACAATAATCATCAGTCATTCATACTATGAAGCCATTACAGTAGCTGTTTGTTAATTGAAGTTAACTTTCTGACAAGATTTTAAAATTGGAGATTAACCTTAAAAAAACTAACTTGTGCTGTTATGTATTGCTATTATTCTATAGGAATAGAAATGGTGTCTGTCAGTTATTTCTCAATAAATCTGCCAATATCTGGATCCGTGGGTGGGGGGGGGGTAGAAAATTTTCTAAAAATCTTGAAGGGCAGCATATTCTGCAAAGTGCAGAGTTTTTCCAAACGGGGAAGTAAAAAGCTTGGCGTAGCTATGCCAATGTCTGGATCCACCCCACCCCCTTTATCTCCTCCGATATGTATTACTGGGATATCTCCTAATCAACAGTTTCCTTACCTATGGTGAGTCGGGAACACCCATTCTCATCACAGTCAAATGTACAGCCACAGTCGTTGTGACCATCACATCTGTAGGACATGCTAAGACAATCCTTGTTCCTGCACTCGAACTCGTAGGATCTACAGTCTGAGGGGGACATTGCAGTGTTATAAAACTAAAAACTATACCATTTAGTTTTAGCATGGTGTTTTTTTTTTAAAATCTTTATGGCAACTTAGAAGGGATTAAATGAATTGGCTTCATTATTTTAATATTTAGTTGTAAATGAAACAGTACGGCTGGGAAATGAGCTCCATCAACAATAATGAATTCTGTAACATCTAGCTGCATAATTATAATTAGAACTATGGGGTCCCCCATAAATTATGCCACACTATTTTGGCAGAGTTTGAACCCTCCAGCTCTCCAATCATCACAAGAAGTTTGACTGACATACTAGCCACAGATCGTCACAAATCAATGGACTAGATGTATGGCGTCATTGATGGATGTCCGCACCTATAAAATGCCCCTGCTCGTTCGTATGCGGTGTTGCCTCCATGAAACTTTAAAGACAATTTCAGCTGAGTTTACAAACATTTGCTGGCCAGGTTTAGGGAGTTGACAATTTACATAAAATAATATTTACAAATTATAGAAGTAAAAGTGATAAATTAATTAAATTAGGTTTTAAATGGTAATGTTAACTTCACTTCTGTCTGACATGTCATTTATGACACTACCCTAGCCACATATGGTATGCACATTTTTTGTAAAAGCTCAACCAGACACGAGAAGTGACATTGCATACTAGTACTAGAAATAAATCGAAATATTGCACAGCACAAAAGAATGGAAACGTACACAATAGATATGAGTGGGACCACTGCCCACTTGAAATTAGTAGGAATATTTCACAGCACAAAAGACTGGGACCATTACTCAGTAGATATGAGTGGGACCACTGCCCACTTGAAATTTAGTATATTAGTAGAAATATTGCACAGTACAAAAGATTGGGACCATTAGTCAGTAGATATGAGTGGGACCACTGCCCACTTGAAATTAGTAGGAATATTGCACAGTACAAAAGATTGGGACCATTTCACAGTAGGAATGAGTGGGAACACAGCCCACATTAAATTATGACTTCTCATAATCTATTAGTACTACCGGTATTAGTATTCCAGTACTACCTTTACCTTGATTATTAAAACATCTGAAAAAGGAGATATCTGTGTCTACTCGGACATCAGTCGTCAAAACTCCAATCCAACTTTAATTATTATTGATACAAGCTTAAAGTAGATAGAAAAGGAACGAAGCACTTACCGGCAACCGGTTTTGTGTTATTCTCAGGTGGGGTCTTATCTGAGAACAAATTGGCATTAGATCATTTTATTTTTTCACAAGCCAGATGTTAAGTGCAATCCGGAACTACCCGACATCATATTTGAAATAATATCTCACTACTTTTTAAAAAAAATGTATTAACTATCATAATTAAATTTATTCTCACTCCCAGTACTTACTAAAATAAACCCAGAACATCGATGCCAGTCTGGTTGATGAGCCGTTGATAAAATCAGTTTTTAGTGTCACCCGAAGCCAAGAGTTGCTGGACGTGACAGATGTGTTGGATACAGCGTCACAATACTCGCCAAGTAGGGGAGAATACTTGCCACCATCACGAATCTGTTCAGAATACAGATTCCCTGTCTTAGTGAGAGTACATTCCCCTTCTTTAGAGAGATTACATTCCCTGACTCAGTGAGATCACATTCCCTGTCTTAGTGAGAGTGAATTAGTGCATTCTGTCCTAAGTGAGAGTACATTTACTTTCTTGTCTTAGTCACAGTGAAGTTAGTGAGCGTACATACCCTGTATTAGAGAGAGTACATTCCTTGTCCTGTTTACAGTACATTCCCTTTCATTTCAGTGTGAGTACATGTTACATTCCATTTCTTGTCTGATCGTCAATGAAAATCGCAAGTTCATAGGCTGCCGACCCTGGTCTGTGCTTATTATTTGAACATCACTCCCAAATTACGCCCATTATTTTAAGTCTCCGGTCTATCCTCCTGACTTACCTGCACATAATCGGAGCATGTTTTGTTGTAGCGCTCCCCAACAAACGATAGTTGAAATTTGATCCTGAACAAGGGAGGTGCCTCCAAGTACCAGACACAATATAAGTTGACATTGGCTGGTTTGGGGTACTCTGGGTTGTAGATGTAGCCGACGTCCCTTGGTTTCAACTTATAGTAATCTCCACATGCTGGAAAGTGGACAAAACTGTTGGGTAAACTTATCTTGACTAGCGCCAGATTAATATTTTGTACATAATAATAATAATAATGATATATTTTAAGTGGCCATCATGGGCGCCCGCAGGGTGGGGCAAGGGGGCACTTGCCCCCCCCCTGGATTGATTGGATAAAAAAATTTTAGACAAAAATAGACAAAAAATGTATTAAAGTAAAGAGAAAATAAAGAGAAAGTAACTAAGCTGATGTCCTGTCCGTTCGTTCACCATAAATACGCTACAGTAAATTAAAACTACATTTAAACATTACTAAAAAAATTTTGCGCCCCCCCCCCCTCTTCAAGCTCATCACTGAATTCACTGGGTTCAGCAAAGAAGGGAGCAGGTTATAAACAATGTCTTTCACGTCTTTCCTCACTATTGCTCTAATGCGGCGCGTGGGAGTTTGTTAATTGTTTGTCTTGTAGGAAGTGGCGTAGCTAGGGTTAGCGCCGCCCCCTTCTGTGATAAAACCTCTGCATTTGGCCCAAAGTGTCGCCCCTCTATATAAGAAAAAAGCTACACCCCCCCCCCCC